GATTCTCTCGAATAAAACCGGTTCCTTTGAATCAAATGCGATCGCTTACCTATTTCTGACATTCAGCTCTGAACCAGCCCGATTTGTAGAAAATAGTGCATTTCTTCACAGATACCTGCCGGTTCTTATTTTCGCGGATTAAGACGTCGGAGGTGTTCCCACGATTACCGAAAACTCAAACTTCAGTCAAACCAAATCTGTTATGTCACCTTTTGTTTAGTCAATGTTGCAGTGATTTTTAACTGAAATGTTTTTAAGGAACAGCGAAAAGTCGAAACAGAGTGGTCGGCTTTCCGCACCAGATCCTCAATGGCAGCTGAATTTTTTTTCTCAACAATGTGTTGTCAACCTAGGTATGGCACGAACAGATCATTAGGTATTGTGTCATGTCAGTTAGAATAGGGTGGAAACTTTGCTGTTACCATGGCCATAAGAGTGATTGCCCTGTGACGCCTTTTACATCCTCCCCATTTCCTCATTGACTGTCTTTTTCTCACATTATCACACTTGTTTTACTCATTGTTGTCTAACATGTCTCATATCGCGTCCACTTTCGACATGTTACCCGGTTTTGCCATATCCATTTATCCTGATCCCATAGCTCGTTGTCCACTGAACAGTTTGCACACACATTCATCCACTAACAGCTTAAGCGAATAAAGCAGGTTATGGTAGACGGCAAGTGGGCATACGCAATGTGTACCCTAGCCAGCGGAGCCTACCAGTCTGAATCCGATGAGCTAGCAGGTTTATACATGATAAACACCCAAACACTTGACGGCTTACCTACAGAATACTCGTTCGCTCCATCCCACTCGGGCTAAACTACATAGGAACCGATAATCGAAATACGTCTACGAAAAATTGAGTAGGAATCGTGAACTAGGGTACCCTCGACGAACGACGCTGCTGGTGATGAACCGCCTAATTAATTCGTTGTAGTCCCTCACTTTACCTGAGGTGAGTATAGCGACCTCGGTAAGTAAGCGTACTTCTGGAGCATTCCTTTAGGAAAAAGGGAACCCATCAGAGCTTCGCGATCAAATTAATCGAAGGCTCCTTTGAGGTCAGTGCTGTTCGATTAAAATGAAAAATGCTCATCAAATACCACAAGCGACAAGCTTAATGTATAAAGAGAAGAGGAAACGTAATATAACGTGTTTTTTAGTCATTTCTCTCTCTACTCACATACCTCTGGTCGGATTAGGGTCTTTGATGAACTAAGAAGGCCGTCAGTCACCGACAGCGGCGTTCATCAAGGTTGCCCTCCGCCGTTTCTGGTCAATTTCGTAGTAGACCAATGTACGACTGATGTTAATGCGCTTCTGCCATACGATTTGCGTTCGATGGCATGAAGCGCAAATAAACTACAGTAAAAGGAAGAGTGAGCATTCTCAGACGTGCTCCATATTCTCTAGCGTTGAATCCGATCGAAATTATATGGAGCATTACGAAAAGTTATATCGAAACGGAGCTCCGAAATCAGCATGTCAAGATTATGACGGGTGATCCCACAGGACAAAGGAACCGACAGGACTGGAGAATAGCATGTTTGGAAAGCATTGCTAGTGATATCACGAGGGATCACTGTCACTGATGCAACTAACCATGTTCATGTACACTGTGCGACAGCTATTAAAACGCTTGGTTTTTAATACATTTGATTGTTGTCTAATCACTGAACGTTTTAGTGAATGGGAGATATAAGTCAGAAAGATCTATCATTATTGGAGTCGATAGGCCGGGTGCATTAGATAGTTCGTAGACTTTAGGGTACATTTACATTTACAGTATGCTGGTTATCCACTTTGCGTTTGTCGATAATTTATCCAGAACCAGTCCCTCAGTAGGCAATGTTTTCCAGGGCATGTGGTGATTAAAGAAACATCGGGGAGGGAAGTTCATGCATCGTTAAAACCGAACGATTATGTAAAACCAGTAGACTAAGTTCAGCAGGTTGATATTTTGCTTATCGTTAGGGTGTAAATGGTACAAGCTATCAACCGTTGGGGCCGATTCAATTTTGGTCAAAATAATCACGAACAGATGGATTCGAAGGGAGAAACTAACTGAAGCAGACACTCCCATCATCTTATGTATGTTAAGTATCTTGTTAAGAGTGTATTTCAAAGTCAGAAATAGGTAAGCGATCGCATTTGATTCAAAGGAACCGGTTTTATTCGAGAGAATCTTGGCCTCAACGGAATTTACTCATTGGGTTATTGAGGGCTTAGACTGACCCCACTCATGCAATGAATCGTGCTCGACTTATCGATCCATCTTGACGTGATTCGCTTCCTTACCCGACCGACAGAGGTCAGTTAACTCCGAGTTCGTTCATTCGTATCTATGATGCACACTCGATCAGCGGTCACGAACATAACGTTTCCGGGTGGAACGGGTGTGTGGGAAGGGGTGGGAGGAGAACGGCCCGCCTCACGCCCCTCCCCCCCCTGAAGCATTCAACTTGGCTTGACAACTCACTAAAAAAGTACTTTTGTTTGTTTACAGAGAAGTGAGTTCATTCAGACTGGACGGGATTTAGACAGACCCGGTCCAATGGGTGACATTTGACGACCGAAACACCAATAATCTTGTGGGGTTTCCAATGGAGTGCTATTGGTTGGATACACTTGAAGTTACAACGGTTTCACTCGATGTTGAAAATGTATAGTCTGTGATTCATGAAACTTGGAGATCATACGTTCGAATTCCTGCACGGCTGACACTCTTGTCAAAACTGCGGATCTTAGCGACTTCGTTCGCTTCACCGCGAGCTCCGTTCCGAATTGTACACAGCAATGAAATCAGTGTTATCATGATTAATCTGTCCTTAGTCATCAAGTCGAATCGGTATAGGTATTTACGGTGGTGTGAATTGTTCGTGTTCTTGTGCCCGTTAATGGTGTCAACTAAAGTGCCAAAAATAAGTTACAACGGATCCACTTGAAATTGAAAAGATATAGTGTACAATAGATGGCTAGAAAATTCTGCAAAGAAGATTATATTGCTTAAATATGGTTAGTAGTTTTTTTGGATTGCAATTGAATAACATAACGTTGCTGCTAAGCTGAAAAAAGAAAGCACCTTCTAATGGGTTGAACTGAAACGAGCGCTACAAGGTTCACCAGTGATACAATGAACAATGCTCACAATCGATTGATGGGGGTATCTGGTCAATTCACAATTCCGGTAGGTAACTGGGATGATCATGATCAAGATCGAAACAGCCATTTAGGTTACTTTCCGATTGCTTGCATTCAATCCCAGCAAAATTCTACATCATAAAAGTATACAAACCAGGGAGGACGATACGAACTAGAAATACACACAGCGATCATATGGTGAATTGAGTACACTATACATTCGGCTTAGTATAACTGTATCTAACCGCATAGACACGTTTCCCTTGCACAAGAAACAAGATTCAAAGAATAAAGAATGAACACACTTACCGTCCTGTATGGTTGCCTTGAGTGCACTGCTGACTGTCTCAAAAGACATCTGTTGTAGCGGAGAAGGGTGCCCGCGGAAGGACAGACGATTGAAAGCACGATAGGTGCCCGATTTGGTCATATAGTCCGCGATTAACGACAAATGTCGCGGATTCACCGAGATCCCATAATGTCCGAAGACACTGGATACCTCCTAAAGAGAAGATGAGGGGAGTACATAGACTAGTTCATGCTGGATAAGTTAAAAGAGGAAATGAGACCTTCAAATGAGAAAAACCATGGCGTTATTGAAATCTTGAATTTGAACATGATTCACGCAGCATCCCAAAACGTATACGCAAACCAACGACTGAAGCTGCTCATACAAATTTTTTGTTGTTGGCATTCTACTGATTTTTGGCACATCAAAATCGACCATCGGACGAATTAGACACTCACAGAATTGGGTTTAAGGAAAATCGCAAGTTGGTGTACTCGTAGTGTTTCAGTTCCCATTGTCTTCAATTTAATTTCGCATTAACGAGAATTAATTATCCAGTTCGGTGATGTAATTGCCTTCTATCCGCTTTGAATAATTCGACATGGCTTTTTATTCGTTGTATTATCTTGTAGTGGTTTGGAAGAGTAGGCAAAACATTTTCAATCCCGTGTCTTATACGACCAATTAATTGTTTGTCAGTTCACCATTTTGACGTTCTCTAACAGCAAACAAAGTCCATTAGTTCTGTTGTGATGACGATGGTGCAGATCCCCAGATTCAAAAACAATAACTGCTAGTAAACTTTGCTACCACATGGCGTCGATTTCGTTCATCGATCAATATCCCAACCACTCGATCTCAATGGGATCTCAGGCTCGTCGAGTTGGATTTTATAGCATGCACGTAGCAACTTCCCACCGAAAACAAATAGGCCCTTGTGGAAACGAGTTTAATACCTATTGTTTATTACACTGCATCATGCAACCGATGACGCGTCACCAACCAAACAAATTATTCAGAGGAAAGATGGTTCACGCCGCGAACTAAAATAATCTGTAACAATAAAACTTGAATCCAATTCAGCCGACCACCAGCAAAGCAGTTTATTGGACGCACAAAAACGTTAAATTGACAATGATGCAGCTTAGAAACTACTTAGATCGAAGTACACAAGATATAAATTATTGTTCATACCTAAAGCATTAATATGGGTGATAAATATAATGAAACTCCATTTGACCATAAAGAAAATATTTTAGTGCATCACAATCGGCCAATAATGTGCATGTTTTCCCGTACGGTAGAGAGCAGTTTCACTGTCATCCTGCACAATACTACTTATGTTCTAATAAGGTATAATGCGATTTACTACCCCATGTATCGAAACGCATAGAATCGGTTATCGTGAGTGATTAACGGTTTTTACACCGTGTACTGTTTATAACGTAACAATGTGTCAAAAAAGGAGTTCAAGAGTTTCGCGTTATCGTTAAGCAAATAGCCCGGAAGCTACGGAAAAATCTGTAAATATGCTAACATATGTGACACTCAAAACTGATTAAAGCTGCCGCTACGATCTTCAGTGGGGCTTAAAACGCTAGCATAGCTCGATCAAAGTTATAAAGAAATTCAGGCTTTTACAGAGTCATGTGTGATGAACAGCAAACGGAGTAAACAACATAGCCACAAGGAACCACTGCTCACTTATTAGAATGGGTAACCTAGGACCAAGGATTGGAAGTGGTCAAAAACAAGAAGCCCTACTTGGCTGGGTGGAGTATTGGACCAGAAGACGGATGGATAGATAGAACACATGGTAACAGCCTCACGCAACATGAACTTATCGTCTACAATTGATGGTAAACTGACTTTCTGAATGGAAGCCCGAGCAGCCTCGATGCCGTAAGTTTGACTCATAACACAAATGTTGTTGGTGTATAGGCGTGAAAGGTCGAACACATCCGGATATCGCATCATTTCCTGAAATATATAAAAAACGGAAATTACATTATTGCTACTGGATTGTTATTAACCCGACAGTGGTGAAATCTCACAACATCAACTACTCATAAAAAAGCTTCAACTGATACACTGCCACGAGCGGGAGTCACTTACAATCATATTGACACCCTCAACCCGGAACATCCATTCCGATTGGTTTGATTTGTCCACAATAATTTTCTCAATCCCCGACACCGAGGAGACCACACTTCGGTTGACAATACGGGTAACCAGTGTCTTCAAATCGATCGAAATGCGCCCCTCTTTGGGATCGAACATCTGTAAGCGGAAAATAAGGAGCATAAGTACATCCGTGTGGGTAAGTTGCTAACAGTTATAAATGATCTACTGCGCGTGTGACCAACACATGAGAAAATATTCAACATTCATGAACTGTTATGGGAATAAAAACATATTTCGCAATCAACATTCATGTACCCATAGAAATGCTAGGGCGAATAGGTCATGTTAGGTTCAGGCTCTGGAGAGCGAGTGCGCTAACCCGATCTGAAGGAATGAAATCCTGAAGGAAGAGTTTGTAAAAATGGAAGTGGAATGTTATTGCAAAAAAGGGGATTAACCCGGCGCAGCTGAAGCAAATAAAACTGGAATTTCCGGTGTGGGTTAGAGTAGGAAGGAAGTATTTACAGGAGGAGGATAAGGAATGCCAATTCCCATTGGTAATTAACGCACTAATGGTTATACAAGGTTAGCTAATGTTTCGCAATTCACGAATTACGACCGCTACGGTGACGCGGTGAGTGTTCCCTAGAAATCCTTAAATGGAATGTCTTGGAGTTCGCCAAGATGACCGGGTAACCTCTGCATTCACTGTTCCTACAGCATCAAGGATTGCAGTAGTGACTTTATGAAGAAAAACAGAGTAACAGTCTGTTTCCCTTTTCGGCAGTTCTTTGGCTATATCTGATTATTGGTTATTGCAAATGGTACAGCGTGGAGGACCGTGACTGATGAGGCATTGAGCATTTAACGATTGGTTTGTTTTTGTCATAGTCCTTAGGTGTCGTATTCAAACCTTGTTTCGGAACTGGCCACACTCTCCCTCCCATTCGTAAATTCGTTCATGCAAACCAAGGGGAATAATCTTTTTTTATTGTAACCCAGTAATTGATGCACGAGTTAAGCAATCAACAGAATGCAAAGTATGAAGAATGACCAGTAATTTTGATAGGACGCTTACACAGATTGTCAATCGCGCCCATGTGGGAGATTTGCCTCTGTCGAAGTCGTAGTGACTGAAGCGAGCGTGTAACCGCGTTACGAACTGCAAAAGGAGAAAAATATGTTTTTTTTTAAAGAGTGCCAGATCAATTTGATCTGGGGAAGAAAAATGTGGAAAGGACAATTTACCGTGCGTCGGCTTTCGTATTCCATTTCCAGATCTTCATCAGCCTTGTTCCCGTTCTCCTTGTCGACATCTTCCAGAGGCAGTTCCGCATCATCTTCATTTGCCTGTACATCCATTTCATCCAACAGCCCAGTATCATCTTTGGCATCTTTCGATCCAGTAACAGCAGTCTTTGCACCAATGGGGGATTTACCAGGAAGAGTATTGCTATTCTTCAAATTGGAAGCTCCTTCAGGACGATCATTGCCCTCAGTCTCACTCACGTCATCTTCCTCGTCACGGATTCGTTCTGGATCGACGCCTAGTTCACGCAGTTCGGCCACCTCAGCATCATCTTCGACATCGTCGATCGCTTCGTCCAGATCTATGATCTGGTTCCGAGTCAAATGTCCACCAACGGCCGGTTCATCTTCAGCCTCCGCCTCCATACGACGTCGACGAATAGCCTGAGAAAGAATTCCGAAAGGCGAGTCAGGGTTAAGGACCAGAGGCCATGGTCGAATAGAGGTCTTCCAATGCTTCTGGCATTGGACATAAAAATCATTCAATGGGCAGTGATTGCTAGATGAACACAACAGGCGAAGCCGCTCTGAACTCTGGTGC